CCCCCCCCCCCCCCCCCCAATGGGGGGGGGGGGGGGGGGGGGGGGGGGGGGGGGAACTGGTTTTATAATTTCAAAAAGGTTAATAGATAGATACTGACTGGGGTAACGAAACAGTGGCTTGACGACCAGCAAGACTTGGGCCATGTCCGTGAATACTCGACCTGCCAGGGCTCGTGGCGTCCCGACTTTCTCATTGAAGAGGTGCGCGCCGCCGACGGCACCTGCGCCGAAAACTTTCGCGTCTCCGAAATCAACGCGCGGTTCTGCTTCAACGGCTTCATGCACATTGCATACGGCAGCGCGGCGCTGGCCGACATGGGCACGGAGCGGTCCGGTCTCGTCACCGCCACCGACGGAGCGCAGGTAATTTCAAGCCGCTGCTATTGCCCGTAACCCTGTTTTCTCTTCTTTTTTCTCTTACCTTTTTTCCATGCTCGTTTGTCTTGTTGCATTCGTATACAAAAGCCAAGTTTCTAACCCGTGCCGCCACCAATGTTGTGTTAGTTCCTTGACGGCCTGCTCGGGCTCTTTCAACACGACAAGCCCCTTCATCTCCTCAAGGGCGAGGAACGCGGCATGGACATTCAAATGTTCATCTACGCCGTGCAGCAGCGTCTCGGCGCCGCCCCGCGCCTCATCACCCCAGCCGATCTGCGCCTGGCCCCCGACGCACACGGCCGCACGACGCTCTGCTGCCTCGCGCCTCCCGCCGCCGCCGCCGCCGGAACCAGAACCCTGCGCACCGCCGCCGGCGAGCTCGTCGAGGAAATCCACCAAGTCGGCCTGGAGCTGCGCCAGCACGAGCTCCTGCAGCTCGACCGCGACGTCTGGCGCCACCTGAGCCTGCGCTGCTTCAACGACATGCGCACGGTGCTTCTCGTCCACGACAAGCGCATGCTCGGCATCGTCCTGCAGGAGCTCGACAACCTCGTCGCGCGCGGCGCCCTCACGCCGCTCCAGGCCGCGGCGCTGGACCGCGGCATCGCGCACACCGTCCTGCCGGGCTCCCCTGAGCTGCAGACGCTCATCACTGACAACAACAACAACAGCAGCAACAACAACAACAACAAGGACGAGTACATTTTGAAACCGGTGCGCGGCGGCAAGGGCGCTGGCATCGTCTTTGGCGAGGAGATGGGCGTGGATGAGTGGCGCGCGGCGGTCGAGAGGCTGCGGCGGCCGAAGCCGGCGGTAGATGACGAGGGGGGCTTGTTTGTGGTGCAGCGCAAGGTTGAGCAGATTCGCTACGACGTGGTGCTCAAGAAGAATGGCGAGGTCGGTCGATTTCCCCTCGTCGGCACCTACCATGTTGTCAACGGACGCTATCTGGGCATAGGCATCTGGCGCAGCAGCGCAGAGCGCATCTGCGCCGTGTCTACTGGAGGTTCGTGGATGTGCTCCGTCATGAGCCCTTGACTACGGAAAGATGTCGGCTCTGTTTCCTATCCCATAGGCTTTTCCTTGTTCATAGACTTCACGCGGTAGACTCGGGGATAGACTTGGAGTAAATAGATGAATTCGCTTTTCGCTTATATCCCAAATCCTCAACGCCCAACCAAAAAAAATGATCAAATCTCCTGTTCAATGTAAATCCTTCTAAAGTGTCCCTCTTTCCGCATGCTGCTTTCAATACACGCAGTCGCTTTAAAGTCTTCGCCGTGGAGCCCGCCGCACTGGACCTTGCGGAAGTATCATCTTCGGTGCAAATCGCCGAGGACCTGATATATAGTCTTCCCGCCGTTTTGCCAATGGAGCCTGCTTAAGAGAAAGCAGAGGTATGTATACTTTTGCACAGTGACCTTTGTCTGCCTACTTGGCGCGGCACCGACCTTGATCCACGGATGCAGGCTTCTGCCAAACCGGGCGCAAGCGTGCGAGATGGACAGAGGTAACGAGGTGACTCTTTGGAAAACACCTCAATCTTCCTCGCTAATCTCGCTCTCATCGTTGTGGCCGCTCTCTTCTTGGCTGTTGGCCAGGTCCTCAAAGGCAATCTCCATTTCCTTTTCCAGGTCCGCCTCGAGGTCCACCGTCCCGTCGTCCGCGTTGCCGTCTTCTTCAGGGCCGCTGCCCGCCTCCTCGTCGTGCTCCTCGTCCTCGGCCGCGTGGCCGTTTTGCTTGTTGACGGGGCTCGGCAGCTTAAAGTCGACGTCCACCTCGTCGTCGCTCTCCCCGTCGGCATCGTCGGCCTCGGACTCGCGCTGGTTCATGTAGTCGTCGAAGCGGCGCTGCGTCGGGAACGCGGGCGAAAAGTCGTTATGCTTGGCGGCGCGCGCGGCCGCTGGCGGGCCCTCGGGGTACTCAATCATTAAGCCCCCGTCGTCATCATCATCGTCATCTTCGTCATCGTCATCGTCATCGGCGGCCTGCTTCTTGGACTTGCTGGACGGTTCAGGCGTCGCGGCCTCGGCGACGGGCATGGCGAGATTCTTGGGAGGCTTCTTCTCGACCTTTCGCTTCGTCTGCGTGCTGTTGCTACTCGAAGGCTTGGGCGCCGAAGACGGCTTGCTGCTCGCTGCGCTTCTCGGCGCGGGGACCTTTACGTTGATGGAGTCGTGGGGACTGTCCTCGACTTGCAGGTGGGGGAAGCGACGGCTCAGTTCCTCTGGGCTCGCACTGCCCGGCATGCGCGTGAGGTTCATGTTGAATGTCGAATCGACCTTGTCGAGGACAAACGCTTGTCGGGCGGGATCAAAGTACAGCACATACTGGTCGTCGTCTGTGCTGCGAGGTCCCGTAAAAGCGTAGCTATCGTCATCATCGTCTGTATATGTGAGATCGTACGAGGACGTCTTGCCCGGGATGGACGGCTTTAGGCGTGCGCGTTCGGGAGCGTCTGGTGAGGAGAGTGCGGGCTTGTGGTTATCTTTGTCGAGGGAAAACACCTCATTAGCACAAGCAGAATTGCCAAGGCGGTCTAGAATAGCCACAACATACATCGGACTCCGGTAAAGACCTCGTTGGGATCGTCATTGGTCAGAGTGTCGCCCAAGATGACTGGGTACTTTCCTGTCACGGTAGGATCGATGAGAGCAGCCATGGCGAGACGGCGCGCGGGGCGGGCTGCGCGGGGATGTTGGAAGAAAGAAAAGCCTGAGTCAAGAGTGATGACTGCTCGCTGCTCTTCTCAGTGATGTGTTGAAAGAGAGTCTGTAATTGCAGGGACGGGTTCGTGTAGCTGGGAGAGGCAATGGCGCTTGCAGTGCATGTGTAGATGCAAAAGGTCGCGGAGCATGAAAGTGTAGATGAAGGTTTGAAGATGGGACGAGGACAGTTGTTAGCGCGGAGCCTTAGACTCGGATCATGGCGCATTGAATTATTGGAGACTCGAGAGTGACACCCTGTGGAGAGGGTGGGACGAGGCGTCGCTACAAGGTAGTTAGCGCCGGCAACAAGGGGATCCTGAAATGTAAAATCCAAGTGTGTAAAAAGTAAGAGGGAGACGGGAAAAGATGATATTTATACTAGGTCAGTGTCTGTTTTGTGCGATTCTTCTCGTCGCTAGGCTGTCCTTGATGCTAAATCTGTCCTTTGGTTTCCAGGCGTGCCCAACTGTAACAGGTAAAGGTCTATCTGACGTTGTGCTACCTCGTATTCCTCCTGTGTATCTCCAATTGAGCCATTTTTCAGCTCGTCTGACCAAAATCAACCCGAAAAATCGATTCGTGCTTGCTTCCTGTTAAAACTGGTTCGCCCGTGAGCGACACGGTAACACACAAATAGGGAATAACGCCGCCGAAGCAAACCAGTTACAACGGGCCCGGTTGGCTAAGTGGTATAGCGTCTCACTAGTATTCGATACGGTGAAATGAGAAGATCATGAGTTCGATTCTCATACTGGGCATTCTTTTTGCACTATTTCGCTCTTTTTGGCATTTCAGGCGTCGGCCTCTACTCGACAAAGGACTTACTGCTATTCAAAATCATCAAATAAATCATGACGACGCTAACTAGGTGACACGAATCCGTCGCCAAAACTCAACATTAAGGATGCTGAATTCGCGGCGCCATCACCAAGTTAGGCCCGGCAACTGTCTTCTATGGCGTGTCTTGATACCGAGACAAAAAAGTCATGAGAATGACGTTATTTATAAATTTATATGCCGTAAACGCCATCAATGTTCTAGGGTCGCAATGCTCATTCGCTCACTATCAGTACACAACTCTCCGTCACCCACAGCATACCATCTACTGCTTGTACTCGCTAGGAACAACCATGAGCTCGGGCTTAACGAGCGTGTCAAACTCTTCCGAGGTCAAGGCCTGGAGCTCCATGGCGCTCTCTTTGAGGGTGAGACCCTTCTTGTGCGCATTCTTGGCAACCTTGCTGGCCATGTCGTAGCCAATCTTGGGGTTGAGGCAGGTGACGAGCATGAGACTGTTTCCGCGGTTGTTAATTTCGTAGTTTCATGTCAAAGAGTGAGAAGCACTTACGACTCCTTCATAATGCTGGCAATCTTGGCCTCGTTGGCCTGGAGGCCAGCGACAAGGTTCTTCTCAAACGAGCGCATGCCGTCCGCAAGGATGCGGGAGCTGTGGAGGAGATTGCGGATGATGAGGGGCTTGTAGACGTTGAGCTCAAACTGGCCGTTCATGCCGCCAATGGTGGTGGCGACGTTGTTACCCATGACCTGCGCGCAGACCATGGTGAGCGCCTCACACTGAGTGGGGTTGACCTTGCCGGGCATGATGCTGCTACCGGGTTCGTTCTCGGGCAGCACGAGCTCGCCAAGACCGCAACGGGGGCCGCTGCCGAGGTAGCGAATGTCCTGAGCAATCTTGGTAAGGGAGGTGGCGAGGGTGTTGAGGCTACCGTGGGCCTGGACAATGGCGTCGTGCGCGGCGAGGGCCTCGAACTTGTTGGGAGCCGTCTTGAACTCGGTGCCGGTCATGTTGGTCACCTCCTCAGCAATGGCCTCGGCGAAGCCCTTGAAGGTATTGATGCCGGTGCCGACGGCGGTGCCACCCTGCGCGAGCAGACGGAGGTCGGTCAAGGAGCCCTCGACGCGCTTGATGCCAAAGTCGAGCTGCGCGACGTAGCCAGAGAACTCTTGAGCAAGAGTCAGGGGCGTGGCGTCTTGCAGGTGGGTGCGGCCAATCTTGATGATGCCACGGGTGTCAAAGGCGTCGACCTTGGCCTGAAGGGCGGCGCGGAGGCTGCGCAGGGCAGGAAGAAGCTCGCCTTCAAGGTCGAGGACGGCGGCAATGTGCATGACGGTGGGGAAGGTGTCGTTTGAGGAGGCGCTGCGGTTGACGTGGTCGTTGGGGTGGACGGGGGTCTTGCTGCCCATTTTGCCGCCGAGAATCTCAATGGCGCGGTTGGAGATGACCTCATTGGCATTCATGTTGGACTGTGTGCCGGAGCCGGTCTGCCAGACGACGAGGGGGAAGTGGTCCATGAGCTTGCCATCGGCCACCTCTTTGGCGGCCTGCTGAATGGCCTGTCCAATCTTGGGGTCTACGCCGTGTTAGTATTCAATCGAAAGTGCAATGCGCGCGTGGTGGTGAAGGTCCGGCGCATGCGGCTTTTTTCGGGCAGCGACGGAGCTCTGCGCCGGTGGAGGCCGGAGCAGCCCGAGGAGCCGGGGGGAGTAGGAGGGAGTAGGAGGTAGGAAAAAAAAAAAAACGCACCGAGACCGTAGCGCATGTTGACGGTGGCAGCAGCGCCCTTCAAGATACCAAAGGCCTTGATGATGGGAGGCGGCATGCGATCCTGAGGCTGATTGATGCGAAAGTTTTCGAGGGATCGTTCGGTCTGGGCGCCCCAGTACTTGTCGCTAGGAACTTGGATCTCGCCAAAGGCGTCGCTTTCGGAGCGGGTAGAAGCCATTCTGAGGGTGGTGGTGCGGAAACCTCGTTGTTGGAGGGAAGAGAGAGAATGGTTCGAGGCGAGCTGCGGGGGAACAATGGCAGCAGCTCTGCATGTGGGCGTGGCGGCGGCTGCAGCTGCGAGTCTGGAGTAGCTCCGCGACGAGGCCAATCCCGTGGCTGCAAGTCGGCGGCTAGTCGCTCGTAGCATGGTTAATGGTAGGAGGGAGAGGAGAGAATGGGGGAAAGAAGAGAGGAGGAGGTTGCGAAACGCTTCAATGGCAAGAAGCCGACAGCTAGAGAGCGGTTGTATGACGGGGCAAACGTAACGAAGGAGGCGACAATTTTTTGTTCCTGTTTGAAGGAGCTATTTAATCTGACGGACCCTGAAGATAATATTTGGCTCAGGCAACAAAGAGACCCACACTACCTGTAGTAATTCAGTCATGTACTTGAACTTGCAAGCATAAAAGTTTGTGCAAAATTGGACACTAAAGGGAAACGTTTAAGTTTTTTTTTTTTTTTTTTACTAAAAAGAAAAAATCATTTAGATTTCGAGGGGCCAATGTAACTTTTCCAACGGCGAGGCCTTGTCTGAAAAAGGCGTTGCAAAGATTAGCTAATAAAGAGGCGTGGATAAGCGGGGGCAATACCGGCGGATTGTTCCGATGGTTCAGCAAAGGATGAGAAGGTACAATTTGATAGAATATTCATTTCCGTGGAATGATCGAGATACTCTTACTCCGTACTCTGTTCGTGTATTCCTTGCTTCACATTTTCAGAAATTGAACAAAGACAGCATTATCGTTACAGGCCTGATCTGTACCCCAACACTACTTGGCATGCTGGGTAAGGGGTACAAACGCCTGCGAGGCTACCTGCCTTTGTGGCGCCAAGGGCGATTTACACCTTGGCACGAACATGAGCCTCTAAAATATTTTCGACTTTCCGACTTTTCAACTTTGAGTAGTGTTTGGTTCCAGTTACACACATTGACGCAATTTTAACAAAAGCTTTTGCTCAGATTTCCCCTCGGTACATGCCAGTTAGCCATAGACAGCATCAATCGGGATCGGAAAAAACAGGTGAGCCACACTCGGGTAATAAACTCGGTATTTACTCGACAGGGTCACATTGCAGTACCAAGACAGCGTCACCTCGATGGAATTTGGGTTTTATTTTCAATCATTATATAATCACTATAACAGATGCACCAGCTATACCGATTTCATGATTCGTACTTTGTGAGATCTGCAGCTCTGCCTTTTTGTGGCGCCAGGTGCCTCTATGTGGCGTCCAGTGCTGAGTCCGTGTGGCGTCGAGTACTGATCATGGCGCCACGCCTCCAATCGTGTTACTCTTACGGATACATGCTTCATACACTACACCAAAGAAGCGCAAGTAGAGCGCCAAGTGATTATTTTGCCGCTTACCCGAACTTTCACCTTGATTCAATGTTGCCATCACTCAGTACTGACGACCCAGTCTGTTGGATACACCGGCCAAGGTCCGTCTGTGGCTTCCATCCCCGAAGCCCGGGCTCTAATAATACATGTTGCGATGCAGTCCGCGCATTCTGCAAGTCACCCTCCATATCTGGAACAGGTGTACGGTGCACCATTGATACCACCTTTTGCATTGTTGCGCTTTGGCACTTACGCACTTAAATTCGTAAATTCGTAATTCACTCCACCTTATACTATATTATACTAAAAATATAGTATCTTTAAACACCTACCTCTCTATAAATATAAATATAATTTAATAGTTATTTATATATACTAATTAAGAATTAATTAAGCTTTATTTTAGTATATTTTATAACTAATAAAGAAATATATTTATAAAAGAATAAGTATTTAAAGATATTATATTTTTAGTATCTTATAATATCTTATAGTACTAGGTATATACTAGACTTTATTTACTTATAATACTTATATAAATATTAGTATAAGGTACTAAAGATATAGTATTTTTAAATATTTATTTTTTAATAAATAAAATTATAAATAAAGACTTTTATATATTAGTAAATAAAGAATTAATTAAGCTATATTTTAGTATATCTAATAACTAATAAAGAGATATATATATAAAGGAATTAGTATTTAAAGATATTATATTTTTAGTATCTTAATAAAAAAAAAAGACTTTAATAAGAATTAAATAAAGAACTACCTTAAAAAGAATACCCCCTAATATATATAGATTATTATATATATTAGAGGGTATTATATAAGAGGTTTATTTTATTTACCCCTATACCTTAGGTTTATTTTACTTATTATTATATTATAGTATTAATTAATAAATATATTAATATAAAATTATAGCCTTAATTATTAAAAAGCCTAAAAAAATATATCTTAAAAAGAATTAAACCCTTATTTTTATTATATATAAATTTAATAAAAGAGATAATTAATTAGCCTATATAATATATATATCTTCTTAAATACCTCTTAGATTATATATATTATATTACTATATATTAAATTAACTCTAGTAATAGCCTTACTTTTTAATCCTTCTATTTAAATATAAAGTAAAAAAAAAAGGATTCTTTAGTCCTCTCCTTAGTACTTATAACTATCTAGTATATATATCTAATAACTTTTACCTAATACTATTTCTTAGATACTATAATATAGCTAAGCCTAGTAAGAATATATAGTTATATTATAGATTAAGTACCTTAGAAGTTTCTTTAAGAGGATAGATTAGATAATAATAGATTTAATAGGCTAATTATACCTAGGTCTAAACTTATAAATTAAGTTAAGTATATAATATAGTAGAGTAAGAAAGATATATATACTTCTTACTCTACTATATAACCCTTCTTTTAAGGATATTCTTAGGTACTAAATAAATAAATTATTTTACTATATAAAAGGCTATCTTATAATATATATTCTTAGTATTTCTAAGTATTATAAATTACTAAGGTAATAAGGAAGCTACTTATAATATATATTCTTAGTATTTCTAAGTACTATTATAATTAATTAATACTATAAATTACTAAGATAA